TAAAAAATAACTTGCATTGTAAGAAATATATAAGACTCGGAAAAATCTTTTAATTTCTGTGAACAGAACGCTACGGAGCATGTCACGTGAACGCCTGGATCACGTAATTCGCGCATGGGCAGAACGAAGGCTGATGTGCATTCAAATCGGAGAGGACCACTTTGAAACATAATAAACATCGAAATCTGATTTTTTTTTTATGGAAGTAATTCAATTAATTCGCGAACTTTTTTATTACCCCTCGTATTTCTTGTTCATTAACATATCATCCCAAAGTTTTACATTACTGATATCAATTTAAAAAAGTTTCAGCTTTGAAATCTCAAAAAAAGTTCCAAACAAAGTTTCATAGTTAATCAAAGTATCAAAGTATTTACTATAGTTAATAATAGTAAACTATAGTTACCTATAGTTTACTATAGTAAAGAGCTGGGTTCACTTTATGCATAAAATGGCCCTGTAGATATACCAATTTATTGACTATCACCTTATGTTCCATTTTAAACATCAAGATAAAGTAGAGACTTAGTGCTTTCATTTCCTATTAAAATATTTCTCCTAAAAGTCCAGGTCTTGGAAAACAAGCTTTATGGAATTGCAATGTTCTTGAATTTTAAGGAAAACAGGTAAATTTAAGTAATTTCAGAGAAGAAAAATAATATGAGCGCACCTTCTGATCTAAAAAATAAAACATGTTTTGTAATCCTCAGAAACGGTTCTATCTGTAAATAATTGCATATTTTAAATCAGAGATTGCGCTCTATATTAAATATCGAAAAATAGCTTAAAAATTGGCTGCTTTTGTAGAATTGTTCAGGATATGAGGAAAATGACGCATTTCATGACGTCATAATGCATTGACTAGCAGAAAATTACGTCATTTTTGGTAGATTCGCAATCGCCAAATGTCTAAATGAAATTTAAAATGCATTGTCAACTAAAACTAATCAGTTTCAGTTTTTCAGAAATTCACAGGGCCAAAAAAGGTCCTAAGTAAACATTGTTCTTTTTGTTAGGAGTGCCCTTCGATTGTGATAGAAATACTGGCAATATACTCCCCTTCCTTGATCTTTATATAGATACATGTATAATCTACATCATCATGCACATAAGCATTATATATGTAACTCCTTATAAGTAGGATTTTTGATGTAAGAAAAAAAGATTTTTGTTCACTTTTATCCTAAAAACTCATATTTTTAAAACCTCGTTTCACACAGCAAGATCGCTTAATTTGTGTATAGGAAAGACATGGCCAGATTGTTTTTTCTAAAGGCTAGAAAATTTAAAGAGTGGGTTACATCCTCGTTACCCACTCCCTAAAAACTTACCTCTATAGATACGCTGACACGAACCAGGTACTTGATTCGAACATAATATGTGTTACAATATTTATGGCACAGTTCTATGGAGTCTTGCAAACGCAACTTCAATTGTGCTAATATTGCCATTCATACTTAGGGAAAAAATAATACACTGTATGTAAATTAGGCTGAGAAACTTTTTCATAATGCAACATTCGGTTTTTTCTATTGGTAAAAATTATTACATGTAACTAGAAAGGGGAAATACGCACTACTGTGTATAAACTTGTGTCAATTCTTAGTATACCAAACACCTCTTTTATTAACTAATCAATTTTTTTTATGTAAAAAGCCTCATTTTGTTTATAGGCTTTGTTGACACTAGCAAACGACAAAAGACATTGGTAAAGATTTTGAGCTAACCATTTTTTGTGTCTCTGAGATCGAATATCAGAGGAATTTTGAATTAGTCCTGTCTGTTATTTTTACACAAATTTAATCTTCCTTATATTTTTATTAGAAGTTTTTTTTTTACCAGAAAATCAGAGATATATATGAGATCTAATTTTCTTAACAATTGTCCAATTCCTTTCGCGAAGATTTATTTGGGTAGGGTTCGAAAACATTAATCTTTCTTGTAACTTCTAAAGAAAAAAAAACGCTTGAGACTTTATTTTCATTCTTTTTTTTTTTTTTTACATTATTTACCCAGAGTAAAATTTAAAGAGGATCATTACAATTATATACAGAAACCATGCATTTTTATTCATATGTAAGTTTCTCTCTCTGACACCAGCTAAGCAATTAATCTTGTTTTTGTTTTTTTTTTTTAAATGAAGACTCTGGAAACTTTTTTTTTATATAAAATTTGATAAAACAAATCTAAGAGCACGTATGTTTGCTCTTATAGTCATCGAACAGCATAATAGCCTATAATTATTGTTTTCCTTTAATGGGATAAAACATCTTGTATTATTGATGTACATGTAAGGTATAGTGTAACCTTTTGTTACTTAAACTTTAAAACTTTTAGGCTGCGTGATTTTACCTCTACGTATTTGCCTAACAAGAATATTCCTATCAAAACCAGTTTTTTTGTATAAAAAAAAAGTCACGGGGTCATTATTCTACGGGGTCATTTTTCTACAACCCACACGGAGAAAAAAGACCCCCAGGCCATAATTTCTACGAAAAAGGGGGTCATTTTTCTACGTAGAATATTGACCAGGGGGTCATTTTTCTACGTAGAAAAATGACCCCCGGTCAATATTCTACGGGGGTCACTTTTCGTCGTTACACCGGCATATTTCATGAAGCGCGTTAGCGCTTCATGATAAATATGCCGGCGTGAAGCGTTGTAGTTCATGTACCTCATGAATTTTCAAAAATGAAATTCATTTCTTATATTTACATTATTTTTTTCTGATGATTTGCCACAAATAACGCCATTCAACTGTCATTTTTAAAGCAAAAGTTTTGACGTCAAGTAAGGTATTATGACGTAACAATGGAGATATTCATGCTCATCCATGGTAGTTCATGAGAAAATGAACTGTATTCTATTTTGTAAAGAATCATAGGGGAAATTTATTGGAAATGTAAATATTTCTGTATGAACTTATTAGGGGGTCAGAGGTCATGGCGTGACCGAATCACACAGCGAGACGATATCTTGTCTACATATTTCTGTCACAGTGACACTGGTTTCGGAACTTCTGAGCCGTTAAAGCGATGAAAAAGATAAAATTATTGAAACATATATTTTTTTTTCGTTCAGCAAATTATCATTAGATCTTTCCTCGGTGTGAAGAATGTTTCTAATCAGCCTAAAATCACGCTTACCTTTTTAACCCGAAATTCCTTTGAAAGTATGTAAACTGAAGACGATAGCACCGACAATAATAGTAAGATTATTCCCAGTAGCGATCATTGTTTTTTCATTATGAACAGATATTTCCTGAACTGGACTGCTGAACATCAATGCAAGTATTCAAATGTTCGAGCGAGGCGAACTCTCAAGAAAAAACAGCTTCTAGGTCATTTCGCGTCACAACATAGCAATACGGCGGGCCGTTCGTGTAATAAATGCAGTTCTATTCAGAATATTCGTCTCAAATGTAAATAAAAGTAATAAACAAAAATGTTAAAAAGTTCACTGGGAAATGAACTTGGTTGGTACGTGATCAAATCTTCTGAGAAGCCCTTCGGGCTTCACAGGATTTGATCACGTGACCAACCAAGTTCATTTCCCAGAGAACTTTTTAACATTCTTGTTTATTTCTTAAGTATGCTCACGCGTAGAAATATACACGGTGAAACTCGCGGTAAAGTGACGTCACGATGAGGCTACAGAGACGTTAATAAAAATGTAACGATATAGGGCAGCAAGAAATTCAAATATTGAGCATAATATTGTTGCTTTCGAACTTGTAAAATGTAAATATATGGAATGTTTTTCAGTTTAGTGTGAATTATTGGTGTGTAAATCACACAGACTTGTCACGTAGGCATATTTCATTAAGCGCGCTCACACAAAACTTAAAAACATTCCTTAAATGACTGCCGTCATGAGAAACGGGCCCTTAAGGTCAAAATTTCACAAATTGACTTTTTGGTAAATTTTGATAGTCTGACTCGTTCTGAATGCAAATATACGTAAGTTTTGAAAATATCTCATTTTTTCAGAATTTTATGAGCATTTTAGTAAGGCGCTTCAACACAACGTTGACGTTACTCACTGAAAACGTAATGAAGTCGCGTGCGTCAAATTCAGTCTTCAGTTTCAAATGCGTTTGGTTACATAACAACTTGAGAATTATATGATTTCTTCTTCCAATCTTCTAGTATGCAATTATTCCTAGGGAAAGTCACCTTAGTTCATACTATTTTAGAGGCAGATCCAGTAATTTAGTAAAGGGAGGGGGAGAGGTGTCTAAACAGGATCTAGGAACGGTTTTTGTTCAGTCGAAAAAATAATTCCTGTACAATTCCACGCAAGTTATTCTTTTTACATTGAATACTCTACCTCAATTGATAAAATATAAAGCACTTGTAACATTAAAACATCAACAACAAAAAAAAAAAACAAAACAAAACAAACCAAAAAAGCAAAAAACAAACCAAAAAAAAAAAAAAAAACAAACAAACAAACAAACAAAAGCTAAAACAAAATAAATGTCCCATAGAGAAAGGAGAGATCCAATCAAAACAAGGGCACCGGGCGCAATGCGGGACTGTCGATCCCGATATAAAAAATTATAACTTTTGGTTATAAGCACGCATTCACTGACCCCCCCCCCCCCCACAACACATACACCCTCACACACACACACCCTCATACACACACACACGCTACTATATCCTTTGTTACGAGGGAGGATAATATCACCCATATATTTTCTGTATCACCGATGAATGCTAATGGGAAATAAATTCAGAAAAGTCGTGATGTGTAAAATTGTTTTTAATAAAAGTTTATTCCTGGCATAAAAATCATAAATCAAAGAAAAAAAACAAATCTGTTTTCTATTTTTTTTTTTATTATTATTATTATTTAACTTCTTTAATACTTAGAAAAAAGTTTGTTGTTGAATTTTCCTTTCAAGGTAAAAAAAAAAAAAATGTATGTCAGGATTAAAAGGATTAAATTTTGAGTAATCAAATATTTTATTGTTTGACAAAATTTACTGATCCCATCCATGAATATTTATACATGTCTACATAAAAATTGTTATTGTTTTATAGTAAATGTATTTCATATCAGCAGCGGTATATATAAATACTATTATACATTTTTTCTATGCACAAAAAGATCAAGTTTAACTGGCTTTCACTAAGAAAAAAAGGTGCACACGGCATACATGTATGTCAATCTCATTTCATTTAAGTATTTTTATACCTTTTCATTGTAGATATCAAAATTTTACTTTATGAAAAATTGGCGTTACAATACTTTCAGATACGTATCTCTTTATATTTCTTGAGGCTTGATTTTTTTTCCCTACCAATTAAGCTTAAAGATTTCGCTAAAATATGATTTGTGCTAAATAAAAGATCTGTCTAACTCATATATTTTTTGTTGTAATTAAATATATGTAAATAATGATAGGGCATTAATCCAACGAATATATTTAGAGGAAATAATAAAAATAAATCAACATGCGATTACTGTAAAGATGATTTGCAAATTACGATGAACACGAAGTATCAACTTTACAAACTCCGCTATTTTTATCGTAAACTGTATTTTCAGGACATTTTATGCCAGTTGCTTTACCGTTTTCACACTTGTAATATGCATCACATTTCCTGTTAGGAAATTGATAACTACCATCCGCTTTTCCCTCACACGAAGGAAGTTCACCTATAGAATATTCTGATTTTGGAATCTCGAACATGGGCGTGCATTTTCCTTTAAAGGGAAAAGTCTGTGTTCCCCAGGTTTTGTCGAAATGGCAATATCCTTCATAGATGAACCGTTCTTCCTCACAGATCATGAAGTATGGTCCAGGCCTTTTAATTGCATGTTCATGCAATCCGTCTGATTTATTTGTACAACTTGGATAGTCAATGGAGCATGAATAGGTACTTACATATTTGTGTTTTACAGCAAAATAATTGCCTGAAAATAGGAAACAATAACATTTTTAAATTCTCATTCATGTTTTAATGAATTGGTTTACTTAATCAAATAATCAAGATACAGAGATATGTGAAGGGTGGGGGATATAATAAGCTGTGAATCGGCTCTGTTTCACTTCTGACTCCTTATTATTCCGAATCGGACAGATATGCTCTTTAACGCTTAGTAAAGTTTGACAATTGTAAATTGTCAGTATGAATGGATTGCATAAAACTTCATTGTTGAAAATGTCATAGAAAAAAGTTGATACCATATATTAGACGTGGAACTAACAGGGAACATCGACGTTATTGTAAGGAAGAGAGCATGGAAGCAATGATTTTTACAAAACATGATACCATGGAATCTAAAGTTCTTTTAGATGAATTTACCAGTTTGCACCGGTCCCATGCTTCGATAAATTTTGACCAGTCCCTTAGCAGAAAAATAATCATTTGAAAGATAATAGTTCATTTCAGCATTACGCTCAGGCGAAATTTCGACAAAAGCTCCAGTCTAATTTGACTGTTTTATGATTAATATATATATATATATATATATATATATATATATATATATATATATATATATATATATATATATATATATATATATATATATATATCAAAGTTCAACTATACCATTTCATATCTGTAAGGTTGATAGGAATTCGGTGCTTGTGATTGGTTGAAAAAAAAAAATTATGCCTGCATCAATAAAATTTTCATAAAGTAGCAAAACTACATTTTTTTTATTGTGCATAATAGCCGATGTAACATATCTTTCCAAGAGTATTTTGTTTGTTTGTTTGTATGTTGTTTAACGTCCCTCTCGAGAATTTTTCACTCATATGGAGACGCCACCACTTGCCGGTGGAGAGCTGCAAATTTTGTCCAATACTCGGCACTTACGGCCATTGAGCAGTGAGGGATCTTTTTCGTGCCATCACCTACTGCGACACGGGACCTCGGTTTATACGGTGTCATCCGAAGAACCGGTCCCCACGTCCCACAGTGGGATTCGAAACCGCGACGTAAGGATCAACTCCTTACTTCGCGACTCTAGAGCAGACGCTCTAACCACTGCGCCACGCGGGCGACAAGAGAATTTTGTGAAAGAAAAATGGAACATACGCTTATTTTTCTGAATTCCAAAACTTGTCATATACTTATCTGAGTTTTTCTTTTTCACTTTCGTTTCTTTTATTAATTGCATGCATATTCCCCTTTGGTAAACAAATAAGATTGCCAGCACGACAACAATGCACTCACAGGAAAGAAAGAAAGGAAGGAAAGAAGAAATCATGGACAAATTCGTTATACGAGGGCGGTTCAAAAATTACGCGGACTCTGCTATTATTTTACTATTACGGACATCAAAGAGTAATAAAACACAGAAACATATTTCTTAAAGATTCCATTAAAATTTTGGGAAATTTTTTGGAATTTAATCAATTTCCCCGAAAATTATCGCTGTTTTGATATCGCTGATGGAGGTGTACGGAGCACGACAAAAATCGCGATACTATTCGACAATTTTCTCAGAGGTATCTTTTTATTGTTCTGCTATTATGTATTTAGATTTCTGAATTAATATTTAAAGTACTAAAAGAAATATAGTGATTTTTCTCCGATGCGATTCCTATGAAAACAACTGCAAAAATGACGTCTCGTAAATTGACGGAGCAACGTACTTTTATCAAATTATATGTAATGTTGGAGATAACGCCAGAATAGACCCAAAATATGCTTGCTGAAACATATAGTAAACTAGGGTATTCCCAACATATAGCAAAGTGGAATTTTAGACGGTTAGACCTCAGTAAAGGCAATCCGAGACGGGACAGGAAGAAAATCATCTACGAAAACTTTATCTGAACTGTTAATAACGTGATTGAGAGTGACCAACGTGACACAATATTTCAGAAATCAAGGCAGTTTGGGGGTTTAAAACAGAAAAGAATATGCTTTACTATATTTACATATATTAAGCTTGACCAGAAATGGTATATGGATGTTCATGCTCAGTGGATAAGGTAACCCAAACTGTACAGTATCAAACTCAGAGGGAAAATGTTGAGAAAATGAAAGCTCACATTTTTGTAATGCCCGTGACGTCGAAGATTTTACTGCACCATGACTTCATGATATACATGTATATGTCCTGTTAAATCGCCCAAAATTGAACTCATTGACAACATTTTGATATGGAATTATGAGGACCACATAAGTAAAGATTCGTTTATATTATGTATGACTTTTTGCTTGATTATGTCGTCAATTATTTTTTTTCTATGCAACAAGTCCACATAATTTTTGAACGGCCCTCGTGCATATCTATATTTTAAATACTTGTTTTTTTTTTGATAACCGGTATAAACAATAGAAATGAAGGCATGTTTTGTATCCTACTAATACGGGAAAATGTCCTCAATTCTCTGGAAATACAGGCATGAGAAAAAAAGGACACTGCGTGAGGACGGTACTAAGACTTTAACGGATTTTAGAACAATTAGGTGTCATTTATGCATAGGCTTTGATATGTTTATATATATAAATGAATGTGTTTGAAGAAGTTTGAAATGCAGAATAAGAGTGAAAGTGCAAGTGAATTTCGGTGACCTAGAAGAAGTTGTCGGGGGTACTAGTATTTCGAGTAGCTTACCCTTACATTTCAAAATGAAAAATACAGTCAAACCTTGTTCTCTCGGACTAATTGGGACTGAGAAGAAACTGAGAGATACCTGAGGATTCGAGATATCAGGGATAAAATACATAAAGAAAAATGATTGGGACTACCACTTTTCGCTTCGACATAGCCATGGTATTCGAGATATCAGTGTTCAAGATACCAAAGTTCAGCTGTAGAAGCTTACCGAGGAAAATTCGAAGTACATATACTACATACCCAAGGGGATATAAATAAAGTAATTATACATTATACATCTGATAAATCATTTTTTTTTGGTTATTATTAGTGAAAGGCTGGTAGCGAGAAACCGGACAATTTGTGAATTTTTTTGTTTGTTATGCGTACTACGGAAGCCGGCAGGTGCCAGGTAGAAAAAAATTTATCTGGCGGCCACCAGATAATTATCTGGCGGCCACCACATAAATAACTGGCGGCCGCCAGATCTTTTTATCTGGCGACCGCCAGTAATTTATTTGGCGGCCGCCCGATAAGTCTCTGGCGGCCTCCAATTATTTATTTGGTGGCCGCCAGATAAAATATTTTTTCTACCTGTCTACCTGGCAACAACAGGCTTCCGTATTATGTATCGATACGCGTATAATTATTTTGGACAAACATTTAATTTATTAAAGTTAAGCTACGTTTTCTTATTGAATATTATCATTGAAAAATAAATATTAAATGATAAGAAATAAATCTGATATTTTTTTTCTTTGATCGAGGTATCAAAGGAAACCTCGACAGAAAACTTTTTTTTTTTGACGAAGTTTTCAGTCTAAGTTTTCTTTGGTACCTCGATCAAAGAAAAAATTATGATTCATTTCTTAAATCATGTAAATCATATCATTCAGTGATTCAATTTATTTACTTACAACCATCTTTAACTTCTTGTCTTTTTCCGCAAGAAACAAACGTAAAATTCATACACTGTGAAGTCTCTTCTGAAAACATTTCCGGGTAGGGACATTCCTTCATTCCAAATTCAAGACTATAATTTTTTACGTCATAGTTTGCTGAATCGCAATAAAGTTGACACTGTGCAGAATGAGCAAATTGACCCTCTCTGCATGTTCCACTTTTAGCATCAAAAATAGAACTTCCTGGACATTTAACCCCAGTTAGGATACCACTTTCACAAACAAAATAGGCCCGGCATAACAAAAAATTGTTATAAAACTCAGAGGTCGAGAATTTTCCGTCACCAAGTTCCAAACATCTTGTGGAGTTAGTCGGTTTTTCGTATAAGGAGGAGCATTTTCCGTTGATTGGTTGAGAAATAGTCCCCCATACTGAGTCAAATGGACACGTGCCTTTCTCGATTACTCTTTCCTGGTAACATTTCACATAATATGGTGAACCTCCTCTCCATGTCCAACTTTGTATGCCGTTAGGCAAACCCTCACAGGTAGGTAGATACACTTCACAAGGTGGACCCTGTGCTGAATGAGCACAGCCACTTGTACAGGTACTTCGCTTATGGATCCTATATTTACCTGGAATTTATAATTGTACGTTTCTTTTACATAAGAACAAATTTCAATTGTATTACGAACTATTCTTCCTGTTTTGAAAAAATTAAGAGATATATTTAACACACACAGTATATATATATATATATATATATATATATATATATATATATATATATATATATATATATATATATATATATATATATATATATATATATATATATATATATATATATATATATATGTATGTATGTATGTGAGGGTGTGTGTGTGTGTGAGAGAGATAGAGAAAGAGAGAATGAGTTTTCAGAATCTTACAATGACTTTTGATTTCTGTTCGTCCACCACATTTTACGTCAGTGAATTTTTCGCATCGAAGTGTTTTTGTTGAAAACATATCTGGATAACTGCATTCTTCCATGTGACCTCGTAAACTATTATTAGCTGAGCAGTTGAAGTAAAGCTGACATTCCGCTGGGTGAGCAAAAACAACGGAGGGGTTCCTTTTACAAACATTATTCACAAGGGTATCTGAAGAAAGAATTTTGAACAACAAACTATATTTTTCACAGGAATACATTTCAGAAAAATGAAAAATCCTTTGAAATAAAAAAAAATAAAAATACCGGTCTTGTAGAGTAGGTTTTCCACTCTAAAATCTTTCCCCTCCCCCGGAAAAATGGCCCTAGAGTAGGATCCCCCCCCCCCCCCACGGAAAAATGACTCTGGAGTAGGATTTCCTCCACGGAAATCCCACATCAGATTCAATTTTCCGGGGGAAAATCCTACTCTGTGTAAGTTATCGAGTGCGATTTCCCACAAAGCCAATTTTCCCCCAATGAAATATCTCATTTTTTCCCAGTAATCGTCCAACCAATTTTTGGAAGCATTAAAATCTTACTCTTCTGATCAAGTCAAACTGGTTTCTAAAAAAAAAGGAAATACTGGTACAATTTAATCGGTTGGACCAATTTTTAACTTTAGTATTTGCTCTCGGCTTTCAAATCCAATATTACACTGGGGTCGAGGGGACATATGCTTCAACTTGCAAAGTTTCTTGCAGTGTTTCTTGTTTTGTTTTTGGTTTTGGCTTTTTTTTTTTAAACCAAAGTCCCTTTAAAGAACCACTCGATTCAAATACACACAAAATGGCATGTGGAACCTATCAATAACATAAAGTTTAGAATTTTTTCACACGCTCTTTGTAAAAAAAAAGATCAATCCAGAGATGAAATATCGGGACTTTAGAGGGCAAACAAATTATCAAATCACAAAAGATGACCTGATATACAGTTTTATATTCGTGAACAAACGGGTACCGCTGCGTCGAGAGAGGGCGTTGAGACATGGAGTCTTACGGTTATATGAATGACTAATTATACAGTTCCCTATGAGTTAAAATCACGGGTTGAGACTCGATAATTTGAACAATATCATTTAAGATTTCATACTAAATTCGAAGATTCTGGAGTCGAAACACTTATATTTCCATTTCAATAAACAGTTGACTTTCTTATAAACTTTTAGCCAAAATATTGTCGATATGGTTTAAGCATTGATAAAAAAAATCCTACTCTAAGAAAGGAGGGGGAAATCTGAATTTAGAAAGAGATTTCCCCACGAGGGGAATTCCTACTCCAGAGAACAGATTCCAGGGGAGAAGCTGGCTATGGTGGAAATCCTACTCTACAACAACTGTAATAAGGCTCCTCTGTAAAACCCTATAAATAAAGCGATATTATGACAAGTCAACAATGTAAATAATTTAAGCGTTTGTTTAAAAATGTGTAATAAATATCTTTTCTAGAAATACGATGTACAGATTCAATGGAAATCAGAAACTTTCATTAACTGATGCCATTAAATCCATCATTACTCAGTGTACTTTGAATTGATAATGATGTGAATATTTTTTCAGTCAAAAACTAGTATCAAGTAACATGTCATGTTCATAATTCAAATGCAATTAAGGGGAATTTCTGCTCAGAAATCAATTGACTATACTTGGCTTCACCATAAAAAGATGTAATCCATTTCTTCTTTGAAAAATCCTGAAAAATTTCTGCCTTTTATGAATTTATTATGAATCACTTGGTACCTCTATAGGAAATATACTGCTATATAATATACCACATTTTAATTTCAAATAAAACTAAAAATTAATTTTAGAAACGGTACTGCATATAGAAGAAGAAATATTTTCATAATACATGTTCATTATTACTGAATTCCATAAAATTCCTTTAAAATAAAGAAATACCAACAATAATTCCAAATGCAATTTCAGGATTAAAACAACATAGCTTAATTGACGCTTTTTGGTACAGGTTCTGTCCTTTTAAATAGGAATTTAAAATTGAAAAAGTGGCAAAATTTGGATATATTGATGATGGATGTATTGGATTTCCAACGTTTCGGCTTGAGCATCACTGAAGAGACATAACTCGAAATGCGCATCTGGTGCATCAAGATTGGTACCGTACTAGTATATGATTTACATTATGACCCCTTGTCGAGGCCTCTGCTGGTGGACTGTTAGTCCCCGAGGGTCTCTACAGTCAAGTAAACTAGTACCTCGGTACTAGCTTGAAGATACGGATATATATTTAACGGCTGTGGTAAAATTTAGAAATGTATTTCAAAATTAAGGATTATCTCCCTCATGCAAAGCCCTGATCCTTCGAGGTATTTGGCTCCAGTCTTTGGCACTTTTTTAAGCTCTCCCAAGTTTTTTTTTATTCAAATATTTTGGATTTCCAACGTTTCGGCTTGAGCATCACTGAAGAGATATAATTTGTCGAAATGCGCATCTGGTGCATCAAAATTGGTACCGTACGTGATTTACATTGATGACCTATATTATGTTTAACACTAGAATAAAGAGTTAGATTGTAGGCTTATTTCTACATATTTCTTTGTGAATCATTAAAAGTGCAAATTCAAGTTTTTGTAAATACAAAAAATAACGAAAAACTCTGCTTGTCATTTTGAATTTTTTTAGCCGAGTTTTGGGGAAAAAAATGAAAAAAAATTATGCCAAGTAATAAGTGTTTTTAGGATGTTTAATTTTTAGATCCTCTATCATGCATATGGCTGTTTTAAATGCGATACGTAATGCTTCTAGTTTACATAGTTATTTTGCTATTATTTTCTCTTTAATAATAAAAAAATTTATTTTAATACGATCAATTCATTTTCATTTTTTAAAAGACTTTTTTTTAATTTGAACACCTTACTTGGGTTTGGGAAAATAAGTACTGCAAGTAATGTAGCTGTATAATTATTTTTCATGGAGGCACAGTAAAAGACAAAAATTTCTTAAAAATTTAGTTGGAATTCTCAATCTCAACAGATTTACGTCTGAATACGCTGTAGAAAATGTAAATTGTGTATAATTACTTGAGCTGTGGTTATTCAAATGCCGAGCGATCTCTCCTGTTACGACATATCTTGGTCGCTTGTTTGCATAATACATTTAAGTATATACGGAACTGTGTTCAACGTCATTCATGTATGTAAACCCCAGATTTAAATTTTCATTTTAAAAGGAAAAAAAAAAACTCATGTCGAATTTATATTTTTCACTTTTAATACTTTCTTTCAAAATTTGTTTGAATTAAATGAAAAAATATCAACTAGATTTTCTCTTTTGTCATTTAAGATAGATTTATTTGCAATCTTATAAACTGGATTTAGGGGAAATGACAAACAAAGCATTCAGTTAAAAAGCTTTAATGAAATAAATGATATTTAATAAAATTATAAATACGTTTAGTTAGAAAAAATAATCTAAAACTCATTAATTAGTAAACTCACTCAATGGCATTAAAACTGTAATCAAATTTACTTACAAGGGTACCAATTGCGCTCCGTTGTTAGCAGACCTTTTTTGTTTTCATATGAAGCAGAATTTATTCAGAATCTTATTCATGAGAAAAAAATATCTTGCTGTGGCCTTCAACCCGACATTAAGATATATCGACGAAATATTATCAATTAACAATAGTTATTTCCATTCAAATGTCGACGAGATATTTCCCAGTGAGCTTGAAATAAAAGATGCCACAGAGTCTGACACATCTGTTTCATATTTGGATATTTTACTAGAAAAAGACGTTAATGGTAATCTAACAACCAAGCGTTATGATTAACGTGATGACTTTAACTTTTCAATCGTCAACTTCCTTTACTTATGCAGCAACATATCCTTATCACTTGCATATGGGGTGTGCATCTCTCAGTTGATTCAATACGCAAGAGCATGCTTTACGTAAGAAAAATTTCTAACACGAGGTAAGTTACTGACAAACAAGTTGATGAAACAAGAATATCAATAGTCTCATTTAAAGTCATCATTTCGTAAGTCCAATGGTCGATACTTAGTACTCAGGGGTAGAGGAGAAGATTTTCAAATCATAAATTTATTTTTGCTTATTAATCAATAGAGCCCCACCCAAGCATAAGCCAGGGGCCATGGAATTCACAATTTTGGAAGAGGCACCCTTTTTCATAATAACTATGTATTTAGTTTGTTTTCTTAATACCGAGGGGCAGAGGAGAAAATTTTCAAAGCATTAATTTATCATCAGTATATAATAAAAAAAAAGTCCCCCACCTCTCGGGACTCCTGCCCCAGAGGCCATAAAATTCACAATTTTGGAAGAGGCAATTTTCCTCATCATAACTGTACTTAGTTTTTCGGCTTAATACCCAGAAGCAGTGGAGAGGATTTTCAAAGAATTAATGCAATTTCAGCATATAATCATTAGAGCCCCTACCTAACAACAGAACCCCTGACCCATGGGCCATGAAATTCACAATTTTGGAAGAGACTTCTTTTTCATCATAATAGTACTTAGTACGTTATGCACTTAGTTCATCGATCGGTTAAATACCCAGGAGCAGAGAAGATTTTCAAATATTAATACATTTTCATTATATAATCTTAAGAGCCTCGCCCTAACACCAGAACCCCTGACCCAGAGGCCATGAAATTCACAATTTTGAAAGAGGCATTAATCCTCATTATAACTATGTACTTAGTTCATCGGCTTAATGTCTGGGAGCAGAGGAGAAGATTTCAAACAATTAATGCATTTTCACTATATAATCATCAGAGCCCCACCTTAGCACCAGAACCTCTGACCAAGGGACCATGAAATTCACAATTTTGGAAGAGCCACTCTTCCTCATCATAAGTATATACTTAGTTCATCGGATAAATACCCAGGAGCAGAGAAGACGATTTTTAAGAATTAATGCATTTTCACTATATAATCATTAGAGCCCCGCCCTAGCGCCCAAACCCCTAATCCTGGGGCCACGAATTTCACAATTTTGGTCGAGGGCTCAATGCTTATTACAAACATGCCAACAGTTTGAATGCTTGCCATCCCTAGTTATTTTAATTCATATGTCGACTTGCTATATTTCAGTGAACTCGAAATAAAAGACGCCACAAAGTCTGCTATTTGTTTCATATTTCGATGTTTGACTGGCTATAGACGATAATGAACAGCTAATAACTAATTAATACTGTATGATTAACAGGCTGACCTCGGCTTTCCCACCGCCAACTTCCCTTATTCATGTAGTTATATTCCAGCATCACCTGCATATCGTGTTATGTCTCTCAAATGATTCGATACGCAAGAGCATGCTCTAAGTGCAATGAATTTATAAAGCGGGGTAGGCTATTAAGTTGATGTTACAGAGATTTCAGAATCCTCCTTTAAAGTCAGCATTTCGCAATTCGATGGTCGTTTTTATGCCTTATCTTACAAATACAACCTATCGTTGAGTTTTATTTTGTCTGTCATCCTTCATAACAACTGTTATGTCATTTTAAGTTCACTTCAACAAAGTTTGGTGAGGTTATGTTATACCCTCAGCGTCGGTGTCGGCGTCCCAGGTTAAAGTTTTTGGAGCTATTCACAATTAGTTACTATTATCCCTATATTAAACTTGCAGAGATGATGCATCTTAGGATGCACACTACCAGATTTGTTTCGGATTCTGGATCGGACCTATATTTTTCATATGAGTTACCAAGTTAAAGTTTTTTGAGCATGTTCATTCTAAGTAACTATTAGCCCTATATTGTTTAAAATTGCATAGATTATACGTGTATATCTAAGAATGCACACTACCAGACTTGATTCGGATGCTTGACTTGATCTACTTTTCCGGATGAACAACAAAGTTAAAGCATTTGAAGCAGATTTTCATTTTAATGTAACTGTATGCCCTTTGCTGTACAAACTTGCACTGAATATAAATTTATTGATTCACACTACTGGACTTGCTTCGGATGCTGGACCTGACCTACATTTCCCAGAATAGTGACCAGCTTAAAGTGTAACGAGCAGGTATATTTCAGTCTAATTTCAAGCTCTACATGGGCAAATTTTGAAGAATGATGCATCTAGGGTTGCACACTATCAGACTCGAATTAGATGCTGAATAAGACCTACTTTTGGTTAAGTTAAAGTTTTTGGGGTATGTTCATTCCAGTTTAATTTTAAGCCCTGCAAAGAGGAAACTCTCATTCTTGGTGTTTCCAGGGATCCGTGTTCATTATTTGTAATTTTTTTTTACTGGAATAAAGAGATTGATCACTGTATGTTATCTTCAACATAACAGAAGTATTATTCTAAAAATAAAAATTGAAAATCGAGGTTGCTGTAGGAACACTCAATTTGTGAAATCAAAATTTATGAATAAAATCTTATTAATAGAGCAGAATCTGAATATGTTGAAAAATGATATTTTTCAGACTTAAGGACATGTTACATAGTAACCTTAACGCATAGCAACCAAGTTTCCCTTGATATGACTCAATGATATATGGGCTACATGTATTTGTATCATAACAACTTTGAAGAAATTCTTTGACTTAAGTATGAATTTGTTCCAGGGCTTCTACATCAAAAGTAAAATTATTACAAAGATTTGCTATTGACTATGTTTTAAAATGACTTCATATTAATATGTCTCAATATGTCTGTATCTATTTTTGTTTTTGAAATTGAAGGAAAAATGTTATTTTCAAATATTTAATTAAATATTTTGGTTTTATTCCATTAAAAGACTTTTTTTTAAACGACGGAACATCGACGTATACCTACCTAGAAATGAACTGTTCATAGAATAAAGATCTGATAAAACCGAATGAAGAACATCTAGAACAACCGTCGAAGTACTTTCACACATTCTCAGATCGTTCTCAAAGCTTTCCATGTTCTCGATCAGAAGTAAATTTTTTGACACTTGCTGAAAATTCATCGCTGTCTCGTCCATTTGATACAGCATCTGACAGTTTCCATTGCTAATAATGTACAATAGGAGTATGCATATGGTAAATATTGATTGGCACGCCATCCCTCTACACACTGTACACTCAGACTAGGAAGTAGACGGTATCCCATCTGTACGGGTCCACTAGTTTTTAACAGAATTTAAATGCCTTCAAATAGAAAAGTCACGCTTCGAATAAAATTCAGAGTTTTAACATTTCGTGCAGTGTAACCTTCAAGATTCTGTTTAGAGATAATTAAATAAAATTCACACAAAAGATGACAATAGAAAGAATTTTTGTATATCCCCTACAATAAGAATGCACATTGGTTACTATTTACATTGAGCTTAATGTTACAAAAATATATCAAGACAACATTTAAACTCTTTTTATTCTTTAATCCCCTATCGCTGCACAACAGCAATGTTATCGACATCTAAAGTTGGAACATTTCAACTCACATTTTCAGTTAATATCTATTTATCAAATCTCTTATATACGTTTTAATTTCAATCCTTCTTTAAGTAACCTTGACCGCTATCTTGTTATACATGTAATCGCCCTGAATTGAGTTGTTTTATTAAGAATTCTTAAAATGTCTATCTCTATTTCCAAAAATTATTCATTCCGTTGTGCGTAAATCTTGCCTATCTTTGCATTCACTTTCTACTTCCTCTGTTCACTTGTGACAATCAGAAATTTTTTTTACTACAATAAGGGAATTCAAAATTTAAAGAAAAATAATATGGATATAAACAGTGTTATAATACCTAAAAATGTAAATGTATATATATATATATATATATATAAGGAAGAATAAAGTGGTTGAGGATTGTCAAACCTTAACATCACTTACTGTTGATTCGAATTCCGGCAAAACATGAGAACTTTATCGAAATGAAATGAGCTATGCATTTTAATAAAACAACTCAAAGAAAGATGCACTATAACGATATAACATCGTAAATTAAATGAAATACCCACGAGAGATTTAATAGCTTTGTACGACAATATACCTAACAATATACCTAATCTTGTTTTGTGTTTATATTTTGAAAACTTTTATGTATATCTGAGGATTTTTTCGAAATATAGATAAAGGAGTTCTGCTGATGATTTCCTATAATTTAAGATTTTATAGCAGTAGTGACAGTACTTTAGATCAACCTTCTTACATGGTACATTTATTTATGTCTCCACTCAAATATCGGTAAGGAGACAATGAAACAACGCATCGAAATAAACCACAAAATAAACTTCAAACCATACGAAATTCCATGCGTTTTCCGTTACATAAAGAAAACACCTGTAGACTGTAGTTCGCAGAAATGACAAAATGATGAAAACAAGACTAGAACACAACTTTTCACTCGTTATCTACAGGACATCCACCTGTTTCAATTGGTCTACCATTCGTTCTATATGTATATCTCCAAAAGAAAAAACAACTTTGGGCTCTTCCATTAAATTGGCTCTATAATTTGGATACAATACGCCAGAAAAAAAGCAGTGTGATTTTTTTCACTGTAATCTGAACGTCTGTCTGTACAACTTATCAAAAATAATATGAGCAGACACATAAAGTCTCATCTTTCTTTTGTCCGCTGCATATTTTACAATGTTGACTGAAAATGTTGACTGAAAATCAATTTCTCTCCATTTGTGAGATACAAAAATCTGAATACTTCCTTGTTTAACATCCATTGCTACGTTGTACATGTATGCATCAGTGCAGAAATACTCAGCTTTTCGTCTTTTTGAAGGCAGTTTTAATAGCTCCGTATATTTAGATACATCGGATCAATGTTTTCGGGTGTCATACATTTTTCACATATCACCGTATCTATTAAGTCAAAGTCAATTTCTGGAGTCTTACTGATTATTTGTAAAATATTAGGTTTGTAACATTTAGACCAAAAATAGCTACATCCGCTTGTTTAAAGGAATTATGAATAGCATACCTTAAGAACATTAAGAAAACTATAATCATACCTCATTTGTGTGACTTCATGTAAGTTTTAAATAAGATCCGACCTTCATACAACTAAAACACTTCTCATGGATGTATTAAATTCAGAACTTATCTTCGAACATCGGCTGGATATATGCAACAGTTACAATATAAAATTATTCTTGAAAAAAATCTTTTTCAGTACTTTCCAATTGGCTTGATTGATTGAACTTCAAATCTTAAGGGCCTTTTGTACAGAAACTTAAGATTTAAGCGGTTTGTTTTTTCTATTTATTATTCTTTTTTAAAAAAATTTCTGGTTTTTTTGTAGTTTTCCTAAGAACGTTTTTCACATATCCAAACACTGGTACTTGTAATATGTCTGCAATTCTATGTAGCTGAGTATAGATTACAACAAAAGCAAGTTTTGTTTTGTTCTTTTTTTTTTTTTTTTTTTAAAGAAACTTTTCCAATTCCTACAACTTTGAAAAACAATTCATAAACTAATATTTATAGTCAGTTCAATTTCCTTGTGGAAATCATTTCTGAATTTTCAATGGGCATATCGAATCAGTGGTTCATTGTAGAATCATCTGTTCTCTGCAAACAAACTTTACACACAAGGTCAACACTGCTGGGTGTATGTAACTTCAAATATTTCATTTTATTACATTTTAATTCATTTATTGAATAAAAGTTACATTGTGTTACAGTATGAAAGAATAATTATCAAAGTGATGTTTTGTCACAGTGTGAGAATATCAGATGTGCGGGAAAACTTTCGATATTCCTTCCCTTCATGAAAAGTGTTGGGAAAAAAAATACTCCCTGGCCTGTCATAAGATAGACAGGAGAGTAAATAAACCATCCTGACAGAGACTTAAAATTATGACACTGGGTTACGAAAAGACAAAAGCAAAGGGAAAGCCGAAGGAAATGTAATAAACAGAAAATTCAATATTTTGTAATTAAATATGGAATTTATTTCACTCTTACGTCACACTCGTAAAAATATATATATAAAAAAAATCCTGCCCCACTCGTAAAATAAATTCCACATCAAACTATACATGGAATATCTTCAATGTATTTATAGCAGAGTAAAAAAAAACAAACAAGAGGCCCAGGGGCCACATCGCTCACCTGAGCACTATGGCTAGGAAAAAGCAGAAATCACTTCAATCTTGAAAGGTTGAAAAGTTTAAATATAAAAGTGGTTGGGGGGGGGGGGTGTCAGGAATTGAACAAATTTGAATCTACATTATCTGAGGATGCTTCCATTTAAATATGACCAATCATGGCTTTGCTGTTCTTGAGTAGAAGATTTTTAAAGATTTAACCTATGTATTCCTATGTAAAACTTTGATCATCCATTGTGGCCCCACCCGACCCACAGGGGTCATGTTTGAACAAACTTGAATGTACACTATCTAAGAATGCTTCCATATAAATATGACCAATCATGGCTTTGCTATTCTTAACAAATACTTTTTTTTTAAAGATTTTTACTATGTGTTCCAATGTAAAACTTTGATGGCCCATTGTGGCCCCACCCGACTCCCGGGGGTCATGATTCGAGCACATTTGTATGTACACTATCTGAGAATGCTACCATATAAATATGACCAATCATGGCTTTGCTATTCTTAATAAATTGTTTTTTTTTTTTTAGAATTTTTACTATGTGTTCCTATGTAAAACTTTGATCGCCCATTGTGGCCCCACCCGACCCCCGGGGGTCATGAGTTGAATAAATTTGAATGTACACTACCTGAGGATGCTTCCATGTAAATATGAGCAATCATGGCTTTGCTGTTCTTGAGAAGAAGATTTTTGAAGATTTTTCCTATATATTCCTATGTAAAACTTTGATGGCCCATTGTGGTCCCACCCGGCCCCCGGGGGTCAAGAGTTGAACAATCTTGAATCTACACTACCTGAGGATGCTACCATATAAATATGACCAATGATGGCTTTGTTGTTCAAGAGAAGAAGATTTTTAAAGATTTTTCCTATATATTCCTATGCAAAACTTTGATCTCCCATTGTGGCCCCACCCGACCCCCGGGGGTCATGATTTGAACAAATTTGAATCTACACAACCTGAGGATGCTTCCAGGTAAATATGACCAATCATGGCTTTGCTGTTCTTGAGAAGAAGATTTTTAAAGATTTTTCCTATATATTCCTATGTAAAACTTTGATCGCCCATTGTGGCCCCACCCTACCACCGGGGGTCATGATTTGAACAAACTTGAATCTACACTACCTGAGGATGCTTCCAAGTAAATATGAGCAATCATGGCTTTGCTGTTCTTGAGAAGAAAATTTTTGAAGATTTTTCCTATATATTCCTATGTAAAACTTTGATCACCCATTGTGGCCCCACCCGACCCCCGGGGGTCATGATTTGAACAAACTTGAATGTACACTATCTGAGGATGCTACCATATAAATATGACCAAGTATGGCTTTGCTGTTCTTGAGAAGAAGATGTTTAAAGATTTTTCCTGTATATTTCCTATGTAAAACTTTGATGGCCCATTGTGGCCCCACCCTACCCCCGGGGGTCATGATTTGAACAAACTTGAATCTACACTACCTGAGGATGCTTCCACATAAGTTTCATGTTTTCAAGCACAGTGGTTCTTGAGAAGAAGATTTTTTAATGATGCCATTAATTTTTCACGAATTCTTAATTATCTCCCCTTGGAAGAGGGCGTGGCCCTTCATTTGAACAAACTTGAATCCCCTTAACCCAAGGATACTTTGTGGCAAGTTTGATTGAAATTGGCCCAGTGGTTCTTGAGAAGAAGTCGAAAATGTGAAAAGTTTACAGACGGACAGACGGACAGACGGACGGAGAGACGGACAGACGGACTACAGACAAAATGTGATCAGAAAAGCTCACTTGAGCCTTCGGCTCAGGTGAGCTAAAAAAACTTTTATACTTGTAGTGTAGTTCATCTTGTTAAAGCGATATGAGCTGCAATTTTGATGTCAGAAATTTTTGTTGCAAAACTAATCCCTGGGACTGCTCCCTCCTGAACATTTATCAACAATTATAACCAATTAAAATGGACAGAGGGCGGAGTGTTCAAGGAATCTCGAGTCTGTAACATAATGTTATTAGAAATGTAACTATGACGTCAAAACATTTCGACATGTCAAAATCATACTGAAAGTCTAACAAAATGAAGACAAGGATAATCCTTCGAAGTGTCAGTGAAATTATTATATATATATTTCAATAATTTTATTTTCCTCGATATTGATACTTTAGTTATCTTACAATATATTTAATCACATGCATTCGTGATTATTTAAATGCCTCTATATTGTTTTAAAAAATGTCTGAGTCTCTAGGTTAATAAATCTCCCATGATTGTTTCGGCATAATGAAACAGTTATGGAATGGGTACTCGGCAAATATCCAATTTATGGTTCCCCTTGGCAGGGAACTATTTTTGAAATAAAAACGAAAATAGGGGAACCGTAAGTTTGCTTTTTCCCTCATACCCATTCCATAGCTGTATCTATATATTTTATTGTACAGAATTCTTTATTTTGAAACATTTTCATACTTTATTTCTGTCTAATTGATCAAAAAGGTTTAAATTACATACAAATGTATCATAATAACACCTTTAACAGCAAAATAAAATTCTCAGAAATGCAGCTCATATTGCTTTAATAACGATTTTTTTTATTTCACGCGACATGCAAATAAGAAATGGATATAAGACAAATAAAGATCTATATACAGAGAGAGAATACATAAACTTATCCAAATCACTCCCTATATCAGCCCCGGACACCAATATCAGCCAAATGAAATGTGATATGGAAAAAGGTAAACATTATATATTATTTTATTCATGATATGCTTTTAATAACATAAAGAAGA